GACGTAAAGAACACTTTTGAAGGTCTCCGACCGAGCGACTTGCATGGTGTACTTGAAAGCGGATTTGTCAAACGGTATTCGAGAAAGTTTGAAGGTGTCAATGACGTGCCAGAGCTTGGGGGTAATGCTGCTTTGACGTCGAAGGATGAAGTAGGGGTTGAGTGTGCGCCTGTAGAAGGCGAAAAAATCACCGAAGAGGAACAAGACGAGAGTATGCCAAACGAAGAACCCGAACCGGGCGTTGTAAAGAAGCACAAAGAAGGTTACGAACTGAAGCATCGGGAGAGTTTGAAAAGGCGGGCGTTGCTTCAGCGAGGCGGTAGTGATGAAAGGAAAAGCGCGAAACAAGAAGGAGACGAAGTCGAAGGCTCTCTTGCTGTTGATGCTGATTCAGAGTCAGTGCAAACCGCAGGAGAATTGGGAGACGAGCTTAGAGGTGTTAACGTCGTAGCGCTTGTTAAAAGGGTTAACGAGGATATGAAGAAGGAAGTAAATATTCGGAGAATATCTGCTTCGAAGAAAGAACAAGATCTGCGAGCATATGTTGAAAAAGCAGGGGAACGAATGAAGAACGCTCTGGTTAATGACGAAGACGGAACCTTGCCGAAAGATAAGAGCACTGTGTCTAATGAGGTAGATTCTGAACAAATCAGTGAAGAGTCTTTTACTGGGAAAATCAAACGAAACACTCGTGTCTTTGTACTTGAGGAAGACTCGCGGGATTTACCGTCAAACGATTCGCAGTTAACAGGAACATTGGAGAGCAGGCAACCGGTTGTATTGAAGCCGTCTGTTGCGCACAATGTGAGTGCTAGCGTAGAATCCGTTATTGAAGGGAAGCTACAACCTTTGGGCCAAGAGGAGTTAGAGAAAGGAACTGGCGACCAGCAGGCCAGAGAAGTCAATCAAGAAGTAGGTTTATCTGTATCAAAGGGGAAAACAAGGAGCGCGGACGCCTATACGGAGCAGGAAAATCGTACTATTTCACAAGATGGCACAGAGCCTTCAGAGATTACTATACAGCAAGCAGTAACGTCTGAATTGCTAGAGGACAAAAAAGACGAACAGAGTGAACAAAATTCAGAAAACATTCTTCAGAAAGGTCTAGTGAAACGACACAAGCTGTTAATTGAAGGAAAGCTGCAGCCGTTGGATCAAGATATTGAAAAAAGTGTCGAGAGACCAGATGGACAAGAAAGCCATTTTGCAGTCGGTCAGAAAGGATCTTCATCTCTTTCAGAAGGTGAAACGGACAGTGCGGCCCTCCATACAGAACGGACAGAGGTGAATGTCGTACAAAATATGAATTCTGGTATGGAG